CTCTTGTCTGCACCTTGTAGGCGGCGTAGATGTGCTTCCAAGTCTTACTCCCAGGTTCCGTAATCGTGTTAGCGCCAAAGATTCACCTTTAACCCCCAACCCAGTCCGAACAGGGTTGAGGATATTAGCTCTGTCTATACTTCTTTCCTTTTGTATTGGTGCATTACTTGCTAGCTGTTCAGCTCTTTCGTTACTGTTTACTCCTGCATGCCCAGCTGTTTCGATACAGACGACGGAGTTTAACTGCGACTTTGAATGCTTTCTACCCGTTCGGAGCATAAACTACCGATTAGGATGTTCTTAAACATGTTCACAGTCTAAAACAGTTACGGCATATGTAGCCGCTTGTTCTGCTACCAATGTGAGTGTTTATGAAGCAGTGGCTTTCTCCATGACCATGATAGACGTGGTTGTCTGATCGCACGCCAACCGGCCCAAGGATTTTGGGTTCGAATGTGTACCTAGCGGATAGTTTTTCAATGATCTTATCTATCCAGGGTAAAATGGTACCAGGTTAAGTGAAGGCGACTGGCGAGATGTTAACCACTTTATCGAACAAGGGCAGATACGGCTTTACAAATATGAGTCTATCGTGTTAGGAGTTGATTGATGCTTACGACATGCTTATGTCCAGCCTGAGGAAATAAAAACCTAATGGCATTTCTTTAACAATTTATAAGCACTGGGTCATAGAAGAAGGGGAGGGTGATCTATGGATACACAGACGTGGTTGACATGTGGAGTCTTTTATGTGGGTGGTTTGTGGAGTCATAGATGGAGACGGTTTGTGGAGTCATAGACGGAGACGGTTTGTGGAGTCATAGATGGAGACGGTTTGTGGAGTCATAGACGGAGACGGTTTGTGGAGTCATAGATGGAGACGGTTTGTGGAGTCATAGATGGAGACGGTTTGTGGAGTCATAGACGGAGACGGTTTGTGGAGTCATAGATGGAGACGGTTTGTGGAGTCATAGACGGAGACGGTTTGTGGAGTCATAGACTGAGAAGGAGATTGAGAAGGTAGAGTCACATATTAAGCGGGAAGGAGAAAACAAGGGAAGGGTGGGGAAAAGGGGGGGGGGGAGGAAGGGTAGATCGAGACGACCTAATTTCTTGCTACCGTAAATGTTGAAACGGTACAAGTTACGTATTCCTGCCCAGGCACACCGTGAATGACAGTTTATTTATTCTTACTGACCTTTGACAAGCGCGACTCTCTGTTACAGGGGCGTCATGTTGAACTGTCTTCGACGCTATCACCGGCACTGACGCGTGCTCTATATTACACATTGTGACCGCTTTTAACAACACTAGAAGATCCTAGAACTGGCCCTAACCCCTATCACACAGCCTCAGCCTACGTCCAATAAGAGACTGCAGCATACTGGTTGTTTCAGAACGGTTAACATTCTGCGGTCGACCTTCCATATCGGTCGTCAACGCTGACAACTGAAGTAAATTCATGTCGCACTTGAAGTTCGAGAAGGCTAGAATACAGACAATGTCGCCGGCCGCTCGGAACAACGAGTAAAACACAACGTGAACCAGTCCGCTCACACGACAGACATAACAGAACACATCGTGACTTCCCCTGTAACTTAGACTAGCGGTGTGAAAGGTTAGCAGGCATAAATCAGGGTGTGTATAGGGCGGAAAACGTTACATGAACCGTTGAAACTTGCAGGCTACGAATGGCGAGAGGAAGCTGTATCAAATGAGACAGCTCTTTGGCTGACTGCAGTAATGTATTCTAAAGATGCGAGCGCATTAGACCGTGACAGTGAGATAAGTTCGGGATTTCAAGGCTGTTTTTGGCTACTTACGATTCATCACGCGTGACCAATTACTGTTCTCTCTCTCTCTCTCTCTCTCTCTCTCTCTCTCTCTCTCTCTCTCTCTCTCTCTCTCTCTCTCTCTCTCTCTCTCTCTCTCGGTTATGTGGTTTTGTGGTTTTACAGAAGTTTCCTTAGTATTTCTTGGACAGCTAAGAAAAGTAACCTAGATGTTTTAAATGAGGCGAGTGCACAAAGACAACTTATCACCAAAATCAGAAAGAAACATCAGAAATAATCATCGGGACGAGACTTCATAAAAAGACAGCCGTCATTTTATGAGAAGAGGGAAACTGGAACATGTCATCACCACTTGAACCAAGGTTGAACTGGGTTTCTGGGACATGTGTAATCCTCACTTGCATGTTGTCACTTTGTGTCACCAGATGTTGTGCAGTCACGCTGAGGCTAAAGGTCATACTCGTGCCACGAGTGATGCCAAACGTCATAGCCACACTGACTCCGTCATCCCTGTGTCAGCTCGCAGAAGTTATGTCATGTCATGTATTATGTCTGTCCGGTTTCCCACGATTGTGTCCCAGTGTAGTCAGAAAATCAACTATTTCATCACTGCGTGTCATTGCATAACTTTTCTCCTTGCGCTGCTTCTTGTTCATCATCATCGCCACCACCACCACCACAACTACCATCATCATTGTCGTCAACATCATTATCGTTTAAAGTTCTCATCTACTTCTTTGTTTACGTCTTTTTACCTTCTTCTTCTTAACCTCTTCCTCCTCCTCCTCCTCCTCCTTCTTCTTCTTCTTCTTCTTCTTCTTCTTTTTCTTCTTTACGACTTTAGCACAACACTACTGACAATTGTGAAGCCCTGGCTTAGAGCACTCTCTTACCTTGAGTAACTTTGATAGCAAAGAAGATGGCGTGAGTTAGTTAGGGGCCTATGATAAGGTTTCAACTTCAGTGACTGGATCCGGTTGTGTTTTCTCGGGTCACGGCAACTGCGGAGAGATACATCCTTCTCCTTGACTACAGCCGTTGGAAACGAATGTAGAGATGTCGACGGCTCCTATCTTCAACCTTACATCTGTCTACAGCAGATAAGGATTCACTTCCCAACAGATGCAGGATGACTTGATGATCTGCAATGAACCTATCCTTATTAAAACAAGTACCAAACAACGTTGTAATAATTGTCCGAGAAGAACACCTGACGACAAAGGACACTGTAAATCTCACTTGATATGTCATGGTCAAGAACAGGGTCAAGAACGTGCTAAGTTAATCACCTGACACTCTAGTAACTAATACTAGCTTCCCTTTATATTGCAGTTCAAATTCTACAGTGTGTTTCAAAACTCGTACCGTTACAGTTAAACAAATATCTTGAAAACTGCTTTACTGATCAACACATATTTGTGCCTGTGGCCTTAGATTTCCCATGTCCATATGAGTCTATCATTTACAGTTGCACAGATGCTGATGTTTTCTTAAAGCGGCAAATTTCGTTAATCCTTGTTTGACTAACAATTTGTTTACTCCTAAACAATAGAATATTAAGTAATAGATACCTGTGTGGAGATGGTTTAGAAATAACATCACAAATGCAGCGATGCGCGGTGATTATTTTGATAGGGCATTCAATGAAAAATCCGCAACTCAGGGAAGACTAATGACTACTTGAGGGTGGCATGCCCTTGAAACAAGTGCAGTTTGTTGTTTTGAAAGTTCCCCTTGTTTAATTTACTCAAGTTACTGTAAGCATTCAGATTGTTGGCTGTGAATGGGTGTCTTTTTCTTCTTCATATACGGCAAATAAGACAGACACAAAAAACAGATGTTTGTTTACATTACATAACAAAACTATTCTCACAAATACATGAGTATTAACAGGCAGCATGTCAAAGGTCAAACAACTGACACCCAACGGTTACTGAGTCACACATTTTTCAAGCTGGCCACTACTTCTGGAATGGATATTTATTCGAATTCCGGCTATCCTCTGAATAACGGTCCTAAATTATCGAGGCGGAAAATATACTCTAGCAGGGCCTCAGTCACGTGTCAATTGCGCACTTCCGCCGTCTTAAATTGCGCGCTTCCGGCGACTTCCGCCACCGCCGAGAGTATCCCCAACGCCGCTCACGCGGCGTAGATTAAGGCTAAACTAGATGGCTTTGACTCACGAGTAGCAGCTACCTCATCTCCTGCAGCTTCCTTCATTTTATTTGCTCGTGAGTCCTAGCCATCTAGTTTAGCCCCAATCCCCGCCGCGTGAGCGGAGTGGGGGATACACTCGGCGGTGTCGGAAGTTGCCGGAAGTTTGCAATTCGGCGGTGGCGTTATAGTCCCCGGAAGTGCGCAATTGACACGTGACCGAGGCCCTGTTAGGGTATATTTTCCGCCTCGATAATTTAGGACCGTTATTCAGAGGATAGCTCAATTCCTATTGTTAAAACCTACTGCGAACACATTTCAACGCTAGCGGCGTTCGGTTATATTTGTGGTGTGGTTTATCTGTACAAAGTTATAGGCAGAGATGTGTGTATTTTTGCCAGGATTAGAGTCCCTATCCTAAGGGATTGCCCATTCACGCATGCCTCGGTTCCATTTTGCCTGCTGTTTGTGCCTCCTTTTTTTTTTCTTTCCTCGCTGTGATGTTTTTAATGTATGTCCTTGTGAGGCCACTTTGTGTGAATTGTCTATATCTCCTGTTGTGTGGTTCTAATACGAGTCGTTCCTGTTGCTAGTCCATGCTGCTGCCGGTGAGCAATGTGCAAGAACTAAGGTTGTCACCAATACAACTATATTACAGATCCTCGCCGGTGCTACAGAGCCTGTGCACTGTGCTGAGCTTCTTCGGACTCGGACAGACTTGAGTTAGAAGAAGAACGGGGCACTTATGGGTTACTAACAGTGTGCCATGATGTTGATCCGTTGTTTAAAATGTCAAACCAAAAACACGCCTTTGAAAATGAACCCCACAAGCAACAGACAGTCACCGCCCTTATCAGTTATTATTTTTTCGTGATGTTTAATTTCTCATTACTGTTAACAGTTTGGCACGTCCTTGTATAAAATGATGGCTACTTTTCCCCGGCAATATCAGGCCAAGGACTGAGCACCATAATTCGCAAACGTCATGGTTATCAACCATCTCTGCGATTCTAATTGACGCGGCACAGAGGACGTGTTCCAGTCTGCAAGATGGCCGAGCCGATCCTACTGCAGCCCGTTGATTATGTTGTAACTACGCTAATGTTGTTGTTTCCTCTGGGCATTGGTGTTTATTTCGCTGTCAAAGATTCCAAGAATGCCACCAGAGATGAGTACTTGTTGGGTGGACGACGTATGTCCATGCTGCCCGTGGCCTTGTCCATGTTTGTCACGTTCATTGTAAGTATCATTACCTCCATCAACATCATTCTCTAGTGGCATCTATCTATTTCAGGTTAGTCTACCATTTGGCTGAGAGGTTTTTTCGTGATTAATAAAGTAGAAATACACGGGCAGCCTTGAGTGGGTACCAGGTGCAGTCCTGGGAAGTAAAGGCGGCTGGCGTGCTGCTGACCATATCACCCAACAAATGCAGATAAATCTATAAAATATAGGTTTAGCCCTATATGCCCAATGCACCCGAAGACGACAAAAAAGTCCTTAAATTTAAAAACCTGAATGCTGTATAATTACAAGTCCTTTCACTGGAGCCCACGGCGTGGTTAAATAACAAGACATGTTAAAGCCAACGTAAGAGATAATGACAGACATATGAAGAATTTTTAGAAGTTACTGGGGAGCTACACGCGTACATTCCGACCAGAAGATCTTGGGTTCGAATTCGCACTAAGCTGAATTGTAAGGAAAATGACCCAGGTTTCTAGGTCGACCTAGCATTAAATGGTTGCCAGGAAACATCAGGGGAAGTAACAGCGGTGTGTGTGTGTGTGTGTGTGTGTGGTTCACAACCCTTTGAGTGCCGACTGGTCTAGAGATCAAAGAGCCAAGCATCAGATAACAAAATGGGCCACTGGGGCGAAGAGCCCTTTACTTAATTGACTGACATGGAGGAAACTTCAGGCGCTAGTGAAATACAGGACAGTTGAGTGACACTTAGCTGAGAGTCTGTGCTCCAGCATCGTAGATAGAACAGAATAAGAATGAGTTTCTTCTTAATGAGTTTCACCACGCTGTGAAACTAGAACTCTGCGGTTATATATATATAAATATATAAGTGTGTGTGTGTGTGTGTGTGCGCGCGTGCGCGTGTGTGTGTGTGTGTGTGTGTGTGTGAGTTTGTCGGGGAAATACCCAATCCAGTTTCGTCCTTTTGAAAATGAATTTTTTTTTTTCGTTATTTGAAGTCCCACCCTGGCTTTTGCCAGGGGCCGCAATATAGGCAGGCCCTAAATATGGCCAATTGCCTGAACGCGGTTTCTGGGACCTCTCTACGGCGATCCTCATTCACATGGTGGCACTTTGTGTCATCGGGAGTTTATCGCTTGTGTGATGTCCTAGTGGAGTAGAAAGTCAGTCAGTCAGTCTCGGGGAAGGAGGGGGAGGGGGGAGGGGTAGGAAGGAGAGAAAGTCAAAAGAATAACAGGATTGTACAGACCGGTTCAGAGCTGATAGTCTGAGAAAAAACATGACAAATCCAGACTGTGGTTTCCACTTTTTGAATCTAACGGGGCAGCACATGATTGCTCTGTTCCTCTGCCAATAATAAAAAAAAAAAAAACATACAAAATTCCTATCGCTGTGAAAAGTTAGACTTTCAGCAGGCCTGACTAAATCCAACAGCTCGCAAACGTATCAAATAAATGCATAAGGCCGCCACCAAAGGTTCCAACACTAACAGTCTTTTACAATCGTAATTCAATGCTGTTGGAAACATCAGTAACTTTTACGTTCTTGTGTGTGCAAGCATTACTGCATAAAACATACTGCCAGTACTGTGTTAAACAGGTAGTTACCATTTTGTGGATACCTAGTTCACGACACAAATCCCCAGGAGCACCGATGAAAAGCATACACCATGAAATCCACAGCTCACAGTGTCGCACCATACACTCTATCGACTAGTTGTCTACTGGATTACTGAGAACACAGTCCATCGTGCAGAGGTGAGGTTGGTTTGAGCAGGAGAGGCTAAGCGACATTAAAAGTCGTTTTCTTTTAGTGTATCACAGTTTTAACAGAGCTTATCTAAAGAACAAATGAAAGGTTACAACGGTGTTGCCTATTTGCTGTTGTTTACCAACATATTCTGTCCCCAGTCGGCGATTGCTCTTGTGGGAGCGCCTTCAGACATCTACTACTACAGCGTCATGACGATCACCCCCTTCATCGGGTTCTCTTTGAGCTACATCGTGGGCATCTACACCATGATTCCTCTGATCTACCCTCTCCACCTGACAAGCCTCTACGAGTACCTGCTGCTGCGGTTCGAGTCCGACGTGGTGCGGATTAGTGCCGTCTGCCTAGGTATGCTACAGACACTCAGCTACATGGGAATCGCCCTGTTGACGCCAGCACTTAGTCTTCAGGTATTGTTGCCTCATGTCTGCCATAGGTTTTCATTATTAGACTGGGCTGGGAATTATTATTTTTAGTGAAACGAACACTACATTAAGTGCAAGAGAAAATGTGTGAGGAGTAAAGGCGAACGGTATGAAAGGACAATATTACCCATCTTCTTGTTCACTTCTTCCATCTAGTTTTTCGAAGTGTTATGTGGGAGGGAGAGGGTTAAAAAAAAAAAAAGGGGGGGGGGGGGGTATAGATCTTCTGTATGCTCTTTCGAAAGCGTTGAATCAGTCGACTGTCATTTCTTTAAGGTTTTTAGTGAAGCCGTCGTCAATTATAGAGGAGAACCTAGCCTAACAATTAGCAACGATAAGCTATCAAGCGGGACACTCTGGTTCGAATGTAAGGCTGATAATTTTTTTCTTTCTGTTGGGGGGAAAAAAAAAAAACATCCTAACCTGTAGAGTCCGTGGCGACAGCACCAGCCGTGCGCTTCCTAATTCTCACACTTAGAGACTCTGGCCCCAGCGTAAACACAGGCAGTAAGGCAGTTTTAGCAATGATGCCGTCGTTCTACATGTGCTAGGTCATCCTCTTGCTCTGTGTTCATCATATTTCTTCAGTGTGGTTCTGTGTTGCAGCTGGTACCAGGCCATTGTCGTGACATGATAGCCACAAACCCTCATCTATTGCTCTTTAATAAACTGTATGATACTCAGTTGTAGACTGTTTCACATTGTGTGCCATTTTTCATGTGATCTTTTCTTGTTTCTCCGACAGCTCTTCTAAGACATCTCATCTCTGTTGCGTTCACTATGATCTGACGCTGACTTTTTTATGGTATGTTATCACAATTGACATCATTACACAATGGTCCTTCCCATGCGTGCTCAGTCCTCCGATGCAGCAAACACTCTATGGTACTTCTACTTACTGTTCCCATAAGAAGTTGGTTATAATGTCTCCTATCTCGCACTCGAAGGCGGCATAGACGGGCTTCACCATGCTTTAATCCTATGTCATGCAATAGAGTTAGTATCAGAGATTCCTCATTATCCACTAGCCCAGTCCGTTTAGCTTTGACGATATCTCCTCTGTCCAGGCTTCTTTCCACATGCGTTGGTGCACTGCTTGCCAGTTGGTCCGCTCGTTCCTTGCCCTGTACGCCCGCATAACGGTGTGTAGATCAAGGGGAGGAAGGACAAGTTTTGTCCCTGTTTGACACTGGTAGCATAAAGTTGACCAAAATATACATACAAGATTTGACATTAATGGTCAATTATTCTTTAAAAAAACTATAAACTTTTATTTATTGGGCATACATTTGAAAATGCTCCTAATGATGTTAAAAAAAGTATTCTTTTCCTTGAGTATTTTTAAAACAGAGTAAAGATATATTCAGTAGATGATGATGAATCAATTGTGGCAATATTCTTTCTCCTAATGGAGTGTCCCATTGCTCTTGTTTCCAATGGAATAGCCTAATGTCCGCATTGTGTTGTGTGTCCTCTTCCCACCAGGCAGCTGCAGGAATCCCTCTGTGGATGTCTGTGGCGATCGTGGGCGCCATCGGAACTCTGTACACGGCTCTGGGAGGCATCAAAAGTGTCGTCTGGGCAGACGCCTTTCAGTGTTTGGTCATGTTTGGTGGACTTATGGCGGTCATCGTCAAAGGTATTGTCGCTGCTATCTATATAGCAAGTAAAGTACAGATCCCTTTTCATGCCTTAAGCACATCGGGCATATGGGAAGAGCGTCCGATATTTTTTACAGACCAATCAGCATTGATGGGTAATGTGGCTAGCATTACTCAGGCCGTCTTAACTTCCCTAGGACAGCCATCCTGGTACCCATTTTAGGCTGGGTCGACCTGCGACGCCCCATACCATGATAAAATTCCACGCAGCTAGTAAAGAAGTTATCAGTCCAATAAACTCTTGAAGCTTGCACAACCAAAGTAAAAAAAGCATAAGGCAGCTGTGAGGGATGCCACACTAACGGCCTTACACTACTACTGCAACTCACTGATGGCGCAAACGGTCAGTCACGACAGCCGGCACTGCACCCGCAATTGCTGCCTTAGTTTCAATATTATCGTTACGACAGATTATACCTGTTTTCATCTTCTTAGTTTTCATCGTCTGTATACTCCCACTGAAGGCTTCGATTGTTCGTCTGCTTTTGGACTTGTCTTGTTCCATAACTTGAGTTTTGAGTGCACATCTGTTTTAAAGATCTGGCTTATTTGGATGCAGTCTGTTGGTTTCTCTCCTTTCAGACAGATGCACTCCAACTTTGAGGGGGGAACCCCTAATTACTCGCATTGTACTGCAGAAGCAGAAAAACAGCACACAGACAGAAACGGCGTTGACGAGATACTGAAGCTTTTGGCTTCAGATCAGATGTGCATCACACATTTCGTTTCAATCTGCGTGCTTGATTTTGTGTGACTCGTTTACATAGTATTCTAAAGCCATAAATCTTTTAATACCATGCGACTCAGCATACGGCTGTTGATTACCCAATACACGGTACACATTAGCTAACTTATTCTATCCAATTGTACAGTTTCTTTCTTCCTTTCTACATCCGGGCTTCTTTATCTCACCCTGTGCATTATTCCCATGTTGGTTCACGGAGATAGAGACTAGCTTCTAAGTGTAACAAAGTTGGAAAGGGCGTAAGAAACAACTACATAAAGTTATAAGAAAGAGGCAGTCGAGGTTCTTCAGTCACGTCACAAGAGGCGTTGGATGACGTCGTGATGCCTGGAAAGATCACTAGTAGAAGAGGCAGGGTCAGACCAATAGAGACGATAACTGACGGTCTGAAACACTACATGGCGGAACATCATCAATGTAATGCATCCAGAATACCAAGGACGGAGCTCTGCGAAGAAAAATTTCAGCCAGCCAAGATGGAAAAAAGATATTCGTCTAGCAAAAGAGGAAAACAGCCTTACACGAATAAAACGTTAAATGCTAGAATATGAGGGTTTGATGAAGAAGAATTAAAAGGAGGAGATTGAGGAAATGAGTGGCACCAAAGCCAAGTAGCAGCAGTAGCAGCAGTAGCAGAACAAGAATAATAATAATAATAATAATAATAATAATAATAATAATAAGAAGAAGAAGAAGAAGAAGAAGAAAAAGAAGAAGAAGAAGAAGAAGAGGAAGAAGAAGAAGAAGAAGAAGAAGAAGAAGAAGAAGAAGATGATGAAGAAGAAGAAGAAGAAGAAGAGGAAGAAGAGGAAGAAGAAGAAGAAGAAGAAGAAGAAGAAGAAGAAGAAGAAGAAGAAGAAGAAGAAGAAGAAGAAGAAGAAGAAGAAGAAGAAAAAAGAAGAAGAGGAAGAAGATGAAGATTATAAAGAAAAAGATGAAGAAGAAGAAGAAAAAAAGAAAAAGAAGAAGTAGAAGAAGAAGAAAGACGAGGCGGAGGAGGAAGGGGAATGTGAAAGTGTGTCATGTGATCTTTGTGACCAGGAAGTCTCACTGTGGGTGGAGGTAACGCCGTCTTTGAGGCAGCCATGGCTGGCGGGAGAATCCGCTTCTCCGAGATCGACCCTGACCCTAGGACCAGGTTCTCCTGGTGGAGCATCACCATCGGAGGCATGTTTGTCTGGTAAGTGGCCACACTTGAAGTTGTTGTTGTTTAAATTGTTGGTCCTGGTTATCCTCATAATTATCACCATGACGGTCATCCTGGTGGTTTTAATCTTTGTCACTATGGGTATCTTCACGAAGATTAACAACAGAAGGCCGTGACCACGGAAAACACAAACAAGAGGTAAAACACGGGAGAAAGGAGAAAAGTTGGGCAATGGTAACAGATGATGAACCGTAAGGTTGTGGCGGCAGTGGAGAGGGATGGAGGAGGAGAAGGATGGGAGGGGAAGGAGACAGAGAAGAAGAACATGAAAACAAAGAAAAAATAGAATGCACTAGAGGTTGGGGAGGGGGAGGGGATGAGGTTCGTAGAAGAATGTGATGATGACGATGTTGATCATAGTGTTATGTGTGTAATGTCTGGTGCCATTAAGCGTACACTGTCATCTCGCACGATCACCAGAATCCAGGATGAGTTTAGTGTTTTTGTCTCGCTCCATCCATTCGGCCAGACCATGCAGGTATCCGTCTCTCTGTCTTCCTTTTGCTCTCATTTAGTGATTTTATTATTTAATTATAATCGACAACATTGTACACCGAGCATACCCATAGATGCTCCGTCTCCCGCAGCAAATTTCTTGAGGTGTGGATGCTAACTGTTCCAATAAAACAGTGATCCTCAAACCGTGCTCCGCGGCGCCCCGGGAAGCCACGACCTCTTTACAGGGGCGCCGCAAAATATTCAAAAATACAGTTTTTTATTTTTTAATTGTTTCATTTCTTGCACACGAATAGTCATACTTTTACTTACGTTGAGGCAATGTGGAAAAATTTTTATTGAAAAAAAGGCGCCGCGACTAAGAAAAGTTTGTGAAACGCTGGTATAAAACACTGATTATACACACACGTCGTTCTTTTCTTGTCATACGCCCGTCCTTGAAGGATCCCTCCTAATATTTTTTTCATTTACTTCATTGACACATTCTTACCAATGTTATTTCTTTTAATCTCGCGTCTTCTAACAATATGTGTTCCTCTGGATCCCGTTCCATCAATCTGGCCAGTTATTAGCAAACTCTCGTGTCTTTTAACAATATTTGTTCCTCTGGCTCTCTTCCATTCAATCTGGCCAGTTGTTAGCAAAATCTGGAGTCCAGTCCTTCGTTAATATTTTTCTTATTTCCAGCGTTCAGCGGCTGTAAAGCTCTGGTTGTTCGTCCACTTCTGGACTTGGAGTCTTTTTCCTGAACTTCAATTCTACATTCACATCCGTTGAACAGATGCGGACTACTTGTAAGCAGACTATTGATTCTTTTCAACTCATGAATTGCGCTTTGACTTCCTTCGAGAGAAAAAGAGGGAAAAAAAGGGGGGGGGGGGGGCGCGAGAGTAGGAGTTGAATCTTTAATTTGTCGCTTTTTAAGACATGCTTTTTAAGGCAGTGCCTTTATTTCCTTCCGCCACCCCCACCCCGGGTCCCCCCATTCCCTACATAGCCCTAGAACCCAAACATAGAATGATGTTAATGATTATGATACTGATGATCATGATTAAGATTAAGATTTTAAGGATGACAGGCTAGATGATACTAGTTAACAATTAGTTTGGTCTGGTCCGAATCGCTTGCAGGTTCGCCAACATCTTCAACCAATCGATGATCCAGCGAGTCTCGGCCATGAAGACGATGAGGGAGGCCAAGATCTCCTTCCTGCTCAACGTTCCCATCCTGCTGTCGTTCGCAGCCATGTTGGCGGCATGTGGCATCGTCCTCTACGCCTACTTTCATTTCCTGCGATGTGATCCCTTCGAGGTGAGCAGTGCCTCCCTGACCCCTGACCCCCCCGTTTTGTATGTTGGAGTAAATGTTACTGATACCATTGATATTGGAACTTTTCGCTGGCTGCTGAAGACGGGGACGTGACACTTATGGAAATGTTCCGTATGCTGTGATTCTGGTTCTTAACGCAGTGCAACACGTCATGAAAATTCAAATCACAGAACAGACGAAAACGGGTTTTCCCATGTGTGTTCAGTGAACCATTTAAACAAAATAGAAACGGGGTGGGACTAGACGGGGACAAGGGGTTTGGGGGGAGGGGGTATAAACCAATTGCCCCATTAAAAAAGCATGCTGTAAAAATCGGCTAATTAGGAACGTTTCGGTCGAGTGCATCTGCATAAGAGGCGAGGAACCAACAGTCTGCATACAATTATGACATTTGGGCAACCGATGTGCACGCAAAACTCAAATTCTGGAACAAGACCAAAGTCCAGAAGTGGACGAACAACTGGAGCTTTCCCCGAAGCTTACAGTGGATGAGCACCGAGAAGAAGATGATGAATATGGTCAGACGAGACGAATGGAAGATGAGATCTATTTGGAAGGGGGGATACCAAGACGAACAGAAAGAAAGACAAGCCGAATACTCCCCAGATTAACGGTGTACGTGGTGCCGAGGCAGAATGGCTTCAATGCTCACGAGACTGTGCTAAACGGAACTATGCTCAAGTGCTTCAGGTACAAAGTCAATGAAAGCTATCGCCAGAACTTGGTCCTTGGGTACCCGGGCTCATTGGAAGCGGATGCGACAGGAGGCCGCCACCATCCTAACTTTAAACACAAGTTCTCTTGGTAACTCTTTGAGGACAAATCGCCAGTTAACTGGTTTATGAAAATATCCCGATCGGACTGTCCAACATGATACTGGCGATTCATAGAGACATTTTAATTTTGTTCCGTTTGCGGGGAAAAACGAATTTTATAACATGTTTTTAAAAACTCATTCATTCATTCATTCATTCATTCAGTAGCATGTCCCTCGCGGAACCTCGCTGCCATAACAACCCTCCGGAAAACCTTCCTATCATGAGCAAGATGTCCTGCGTCTGATACACCCATCTGGAGATCATCTGCCACATCCTGCACCTTTTAAAAACTAGAATTAGCAAAACGAAGTCCTTTCGTTTGTGATGTTCCGAGTGGCTTTTGTGACACTTTCTAATTGAAATTTTTTTTTAGATGTTATACAATTTCTACGTGATTTTTCTGTACCAAATGATAAGGTCAAAGGGTCTAGAACTGTTCATACTGCTCTGTCGTTGATGAATCTCTGCCAGATGGTTAAATGCGATATAAGGACCGTGAATATCAGCATCTAGTTAGCAGAAATCAAGATTGGCACTAGAAGATGCCTTTAGAACTTGACTCCGAAAGGCAGATCAGCGACTAGAGACACGAAGACAAGGATACTTCTGTGAGTGCAGATCAGCAAGCTTGAATTGACTTCCCATATTCTTTCTTTCACAGGCCGGACTCATTACTAGCAGGAACCAGCTGACTCCGTACTTCGTCCTGCATGTACTCAGAGATCTACCAGGGATGTCCGGACTCTACATGGCCACCCTGTTTAGTGCCGCCCTGAGTACTGTCTCCTCAGGTATCAGTTTTTGTACCTACACATGCTTTAGTTACTGCTAGACACAGGTCATTAAATACGTTGTCTTGCGTTAGGAATGTCAAGGTTTGATTTCGGATCCTGATGATCATTTGGCAAGTGCGGTCTTATTCGTGTTTGTATGTGTTCTGTATGTGTGTGTGTGTGCGTTTGTGTGTGTGTAGTGTGTGTATGCAAAAAAAAGTAGGGGGGGGGGGGGTCGTTACCGCAGCGTCGAGCTCGACAGTGATTTCCAGGTGTAGATAAAGCCCTAACTGTATGAGATGAGCTTTATGCAACTGAGTCGATATTCTAGTGTGTACATGCCGACATACATTTGTGAGATCGAACTGGCACACTGGGCACTCCCATGCGTGCTCAGTCTTCCAGTGCAGCAGCAATTCCAAGTACTTCTTCTAACTGTTCCCGTGAGAGGTTGGTTATAATGTTTCCTATCTCGGCCTTGAAGGCAGCATAGACGTGCTTGGCCATGCTATACTCCCATGTCACGCATCGGTTCCTCATTATCCACTAGCTCAGTCCGTACAGCTTGAACGACATCTGCTCTGACCCGATGATAGTGATACACTTTCTTTCGCGAGAGGTCTTGAGCAACTGTCGTTGTATCAGTTAATGTTACACAAGAGTTACAACCACGCCTCATATGCCAGGAGACTTGATGTTTAATTAAAGGCAACTGGATTCAGGGAGGATGAGGTGCCAGATGAATGATGACACAAACTACAACAAATCTCGGCCTTTACTTGAAACACACTGGACGACATCAGCCTGGCTAAGGAAGGAGGGAAATACAGAAGCACCAACCTAGTCTCACAAGAGGAGAAAAACCTGTGTAGCGTGGATTATACCTGTGTAGCGTGGATTAATATTATGAAAATTCCACAACGGATGAGAATCGCAATGGCTAGAACAACATACATGTTAAGTACAGGAGACACAACTTAAATTAGCACGGCGATTAACAATAACCATTCAAGAACAACTGATTAAACTTACGTCGCCGTATGCAAGTTTACTTAAAACTATGCTGGACAAAAGAGTTCAACAAATATTTCCTTTCACAGGTATCAATGCGCTGGCCGCCATCACTGTAGAAGACTTCTTCAAGAGACCTCTAGCGAGGATTTCAGAAAACACAGCCACACTGATCACTAAGCTGATTGTTTGTTTCTACGGGGTCTGCAGCGTCGGACTCGCCTATGGCGCCAACTCCGTCAAGGGACCACTGACGCAGATCGGTCTGTCCATATTTGGCGCCTGTGGGGGTCCTACGTGCGGGGTTTTCTTTCTAGGCGCTCTGATCCCCTGGGCCAACAAATATGGCGCTTTCACTGGGGGCGTCCTTGGCCTTGGGCTCAATGTGTGGATGGCAATAGGAAACCAGATCTATGGCAGAAAAATCAAATCACTGGAGCCTCCTCCAACAGACTTATGTCACGGTAACTTAACTACCACATATAATGACACTTTCACATACATTACAACTAGCGCGATGGACTTATCAGAAAGATTTCCTCTTAGCTCGACATCTCCGGGGATTCCGTCAGAGAAAGACCCATACGCATTCGGGTTTTTCCTCTACGACATTTCTTTCGAGTGGTACGGTCTCACTGGCTGTGTGGTCAGCTTCGGTGTTGGCCTCATCGTTAGCCTGTGCTCTAGGAAAGCCGTGCAATCCAAACCCAACCCTAAACTAATTTTTCCGTTTGCCCGGAGACTGTGGTCGTTGCCGGAGCCTGTACACACAGCAGCCGATGAGTTCAACAGCGAAGCTGTCAAGAATATGAATCTGTCCAAGAAGAAGCTGCAAGAGTTTAACAACAGACAGTTCTCTTTTGTGATCAGCGACGCCGAACAGGACAAGGAAGTGACAAGTTTACTAAATACAGAGAATCATAATAAATAGTTGCACACAGATGACTTACCGGGTATAGAATATCCATCTCCATACAGTATCTTCCATTCGTACAATCAGGTAGTCGCAGTTTCACCTTCAAGGCCAACGGTTCTCCCCATATTTGCTACGTCCTAGTAACAACGACAACCACACAGAATGAACACCACTGTGCTTTGTGAAGAACAACTGACACAGACTGCAGTCTTAGCCAATCCAACAGTATAAACCTGCACCAACGCAGACAAGCAGCAGTCAGAAGTGTCAAAACAAACAGCCAAACATTAGAAAGGCAGTTCACTGTGAATGGAAGTAGCAGCTATGACAGATCAGTATACACACTCAGTTTTGTGTGGATAGAAGTAGCAGCTATGACAGATCAGTATACACACTCAGTTCTCTGTGGATGGAAGTAGCAGCTATGACACATCAGTTTTCACACTCAGTTCTCGGTGGATGGAAGTAGCAGCTATGACAGATCAGTATACACACACAGTTCTCTGTGGATGGAAGTAGCAGCTATGACAGATCAGTATACACACTCAGTTCTCTGTGGATGGAAGTAGCAGCTATAACAGATCAGTATACACACACAGTTCTCTGTGGATGGAAGTAGCAGCTATGACAGAACAGTATACACACTCAGATCACTGTGGGATGGAAGTAGCAGCTATGACAGATCAGTATACACACTCAGTTCTCTGTGGATGGAAGTAGCAGCTATGACAGATCAGTATACACAATCAGTTCTATGTGGATGGAAGTAGCAGCTATGACAGATCAGTATACACACTCAGTTCTATGGAAACAGACCACTCGCCTTTATCTGAATCTACAATTCACAACATTAGGTTGGGCACAGTTGAAAAGCATTCTGAATGAAATGCACAGCTCAGTGTCGCGCCGAGCCCTCAACTCAGTAGCTGGGCGACGAACTTATATCCTTTCAGTCTACAGATGAAGGAAAATGCAACAACTAACTATCGTCAGAAGCAAAAAGCTTGCCACGACTAAAACAATCAACCTGACTATCCGCCATACTGACAGAAAGCAATGTTTACCAAAAACCTGTATTTTACTTATAGTGTAGGTCATCAGGCTGTGGCAGTCCCTTGTGTGCATAGACTTCCGTCTCGTGTACTGCTAGTAATTTCTGACACAATTATCTTCCATACTATCACACCAAACTGTTCAGCATCATCTCTCTCGGCCTCTCTAAACCTCCAGCTTTCACACTGATGTCATGTGAATATTGGTTCACTGCCTCTCATGCAGAAGCATTCCAACTGACGGCCCCAGATAGCTGTTTCCTACGACATGCTCTTGTTGAGAAGGCAGTGGGTCAATTCTTGTTTTCTTCCACAATGGGGCTGGGTACCCGTTCGGGGACAATCAGTTCTAATCGCAAGCTAATATTTTCCAAGACCAGGTTTGCACACGTAACACCAATTTATAAATTACATCACTTCGACGTTATCTAATTACATTTTAGGAAAATTGTGATTATCGTAACGTAGAGAATTGGAGTGTCGTATCTGTCATGACGAAGGTAACAGTATTCCCCTCTCGTCCACGACTGACCATGAGCTGACCACTAGCCATAGCTCATTTCTGTATATATGTGTATCCACAGATCAGTTTGTCGAAAGATGTTCCTGCGCGATTACCGTGGTCAAATTTCCTGGAGCCAATAGAAATAGTTTCCCTGTTCAGACTTGTGTATTTACATCCAGCGCCGATTTTTCTTCTCCTTCTTGTCTCTACCCGTGGAACGCCTCGCGGCGTCAGGGCAGGAAGAGATCTCTAGAACTGGCCCTTCAGCGCCGATTGTTCTATAAAATTAGGGATCAATAGTCAGCTCCAAAAGTTGTGCCCAACGTTAAAAATTGTAAATTGCTGAAATCTGGAATGCAACCTGTTTATAATCATGTCCTATTAGGAAAATAATTCTATTGTAAAAAGCATATAGTTTTCATTCAACCTTATTTGAGGTACAAGAAAAAAAAAAAAGACAGACACCAACTCAATGAGCATGTTAACAATAAATGGATTTTGGCAAATCATCAATAGTGTTTGAGACATTTGTTAAAGTTTGAGGGCACAACATTTGCAACGGACTATAGCAATATATGCTCAATGCGACACATGTGAAAATGGTCACGTACTTGCGTTACTAATTATTATTAGAAAAATTTTTTTTAAAGAAAGAAAGTTGACAGTTCTGACTACAAAGTGTCTACAAGGTGGTATCAATACTGAGCACACCAGAGCCACCATGGTGTAGTGGACAAGGCAGTATCAATACTGAGCACACCAGAGCCACCATGGTGTAGTGGACAAGGCAGTATCAATACTGAGCACACCAGAGCCACCATGGTGTAGTGGACAAGGCAGTATCAATACTGAGCACACCAGAGCCACCATGGTGTAGTGGACAAGGCAGTATCAATACTGAGCACACCAGAGCCACCATGGTGTAGTGGACAAGGCAGTATCAATACTGAGCACACCAGAGCCACCATGGTGTAGTGGACAAGGCAGTATCAATACTGAGCACACCAGAGCCACCATGGTGTAGTGGACAAGGCAGTATCAATACTGAGCACACCAGAGCCACCATGGTGTAAAGGACAAGGTGGTATCAATACTGAGCACACCAGAGCCACCATGGTGTAGTGGACAAGGCAGTATCAATACTGAGCACACCAGAGCCACCATGGTGTAAAGGACAAGGTGGTATCAATACTGAGCACACCAGAGCCACCATGGTGTAGTGGACAAGGCGGTATCAATACTCTGGTGTAGTGGACAGATGCTCTCCTGCAGATCCGAAATGCAGATTCCAAACAAAGTCAGTTTTTTTTCCTTCCAAAAAAAAAAAAAAAGACCTTGGCTCCCAAGTCTTAAATGGGAACCAGGTAGAGTCCTGGGAAGTAAAGGTGTCATGCTGACAACACCCACCGAGGTCTATAAAAATATAGGTCTAGTCCTATATGCCCAATACACCTGAATGTGTGAAAAGGGTCCTTGACTTTACGTTGCCACAAAGTGTATATTAAACTAGGCGTACCACCAGAAAGACAATCTCCACTTATTCGTCAACTCAACTAGCCAGCGACCACATCTGTGAGACAGTATTTAGAGAAACTATTTATTACTGGAGATTTAACATGGTATTATTATTTACAAAATAAATGTCAATGTTAACACTGAAACTATCCAGCCTTCATTGCTTTATTGATTCATTTGTGAAGCCTCACCTGGACTATGTCACACAGACTATTGATGAACAATGGCATATGTTCCTGAAGTTACTTTAGCAGATACCAAGAGAGATTATTTCTCAGGCACGTAGTTCCAAAAAAAACAACAACAAAAAACAATGGATGGTTAACATAAATTTTGTAGCTGATGGATGAGAAGAAAAAGAATGAAAAAAAAGAATATTACAGAATACATAAAGATATAGTAGATACACAGAGCTAGCATGAAAGGTAAAAAGAAGTCAACAGAGAGAGAGAGAGAGAGAGATCGAAACAGAGAGCAAGGGAGAGACACAGAGCAAGAGACAGAGAGACAGACAGAAGAGAGAGAGAGAAGCTGAAGATAATGGCTTCGCTAGGACAGACTCTGCACATGTGTGTAGTACCAGCTTGTGCCTATCACAGAAAAGCCAGTGAAGTTTTGCAAAGAATATAATTAGATTTATATAAAAAACTGAGTAAGAGACATAAAGATGTAAGAAGACTATACCTGCAGACAGACAAAATAGGTGGATGTACCCACAGATAACAGAACTAGACAGACATAGACGATCTAGATGTACACACAGACAGAATTTAACAGTATTTCCCCAAGTATAATCTGCACTTATTGCCAAAAATATAGGGTTTTACCAAAAGCTTGCATCTTATACAATGGTATGAGATTTTTACAATCATTATTATTTTTTTCTCTAAATGGTTGGTATCAAAATCAAGGTGCGCCTCATACATAGGATCATTTTATACTTAGAGAAATATGGTATTTTAACCTTGATTTTATGAAATGTTAGGTTAACTGATTCTGCCTCATGTCTATGTGGAGCCCCTTCAAACCTAGATATACAGACAGTGTTTAGGTAACATCAACTTTGGGATTGGGAGTTTAGAAATTTGGTCAACCTTAAAAGAACACTGGGCGGAGAACACAATTCTGCCATTGCTGGGCATTGATTCAGGATAACTGCCTGCATACAAAATGTATTAACCACAACAGACTACATAATATTTACATATAAAAAGCCTCGTGTGGGTTCCAAGACGCCATCTTGGGTGAAACTAGAGTAGACCCACTGCACCCCACCCCCCCCCCCCACCCTCCCGAAAACCCCAGGTGTGTAACACAAAGCGAATAAGAAGTGACTAGTGTGAAATCAGACGTGGTGAACCAAAAGGCAGAGATACTGCAGCCTAGCTGTTAACCTCAGTGCAAAGTACCAACATTCCCTATAAGGGAGGCTACAGAAGAAGAAGGAGGAGGAGAATAAAATGATGATATAATTGTCGAGTTTAAATTTGTGTAAAATGCTTGAGCTCCAACGTACAACAATAAGATATTTGTGCCAGATGCATGCCAGATTGTAATGCTGAAAATTAGGAACAGAGTCCAGTCAGAATACTGATAATTAATCTCTAACAGAAAACAAACCCACACACACACACACACAAACTGGCTGTACAAACAAGTGAAATGCTAACAACACTAGCACTTGCTGATATATGCACATAAACAAGAGAAACAGCATTAAATAATTTTTTTTTGAAACTGTTCGTCATAAAAAGTTAATACGCCTCAACAATTATTTTCTGGCCTAAATCTAGATGTGACCAATAGACACTCACAACTGTGTTTGTTTCCTATTATTGAGTCATTACACTTTGCATGACCTGAAGCAGTATGTGATCAAACAACTTCAAGGTGTTTCCTATTATTGAGTCATTACACTTTGCATGACCTGAAGCAGTATGTGA